ATGTCGACGGATAGTTCGCGCTGACACTGATGCTCCCTGAGCCTGCAGGACAGCTTGAATGTCTTTGGAAACATGTTTGGGGCTGCTTATCCACCATCCGGACTATTCTGCGTTGCAATCTTTCATCAATTTTCCTCATCCGTCCACGACCAGGGAGATTAGCTACAGTGCCATGGGTTGCAAACTTCTTGATAATGTTGCGCACTGTGGACAAAGGCAAATCAGTTCTCTGGAGATGGACTTGTAACCTTGAGATTGTTGATATTTTGCCACAATTTTTGGTTCTCAGGTCCTCAGACAGTTCTCGTCTCCTCTTTCTGTTGTCCATGCTTAGTGTGGCACAGACAGACACACAATGCAAAGGTTAAGTGAACGTCTCTCCTTTTTATCTGCTTTCAGGTGTGATTTCTATATTGCCCACACCTGTTACTTGCCCCAGGTGAGTTTACAGGAGCATCACATGCTTGTAACATTCTTATTTATCCGCAGTTGTGAAAGGGTGCCAATACTTTTGTCCAGCCCATTTTTGGAGGTTTGTGTGACATTATGTCGAATTTGCTTTCTTTCCTCCCTTTTTTTGTTTTGTCCCAATACACACAAAGGGAATAAACTGTGTATAGCAAAACATGTGTTAATGCAATACGTTTCGTGAGAAATACATGATTTCCTGGAGAAATATCAAGGGTGCCAACAATTTCGGCCATGACTGTATGTGAACCGGGGCTAAACCATGAGTAAGGGGGTATATTCCCTGCCGGCTATAGGAATCTGACAGCTGATGCCTGCAGCTCACAGAATACCTGAACAGTGACTGCATCTGATTAGATGGAGCCGCTGTTTGGCTCACCGTTTTCTGCTCTGCTCCTTTTGATTTTCAGATTGAAGGACCCATAGCTTGTATTTTGTCTGATTTAGCAGGAATGTTCGGTATTCACTCTATATATGGCCAGGTTAAGGATACACTTCAGTCCCCTCTTTGTTGGCTCTGTCCACATTTGTTCGTAGTTTGCAGTGCTTTGTAGCACTAGGGCTTTGTTCACATGTACAGGTGTGACCGATCATGGCATGTTTCCACGTGTAGGGCAGTCTGTTCATTTCAATGGGATGCCCTATGCGCAAGAAATGCAGAAAAGAAGTTCCTCTCTTCTAAGAACACGCTACACTGAACTACATGGTGCTGCAGCACATACAGTTTAGCACACACAATAAAGACGCGTTTCCGGATCAGGGGCGGACTGACAACTCATGGGGCCTCTGGGCAGTAGGGATCATGGGGCCCCTGTGTCCTTGCCCACACTCAAAAAAGCCTATGAAAAAGGTACCAGGGGCATCTCATGGGGCCCCCTACTGACCCCGGGCCCTCGGGCAGTGCCTGAGTTTCCAAATGGTCAGTCTGCCGCTGTTCCGGATACTTGGGGTTGGCATCCGCCGCACGTCTGCTAAATGTCAGCGCATTTCTCTACATGTCAGGAAAGCGTGTGGTTTTTGCAGGCGTTTTCTGACACACAGAGGTCTGAACCTAGCCGAAAAAAAATGTCATGAATAAGAAATGCAATCTAATTGTAAGAGGAAGGCGCAAGTGGCAGGCCAACATGACAGTACAGCTGTCCATATAGAGCTTTTTTTTCAGCCAGCATGCTGAACGAAAAAACAAAAACAAAACAATAGATTCCTCTATCCACAATACTATGGAGGATACCCCACCCGGACATTGTATTGTGACTGCAGCTCCCCCTGCTGTAAGAATACACTGATCAGTGGCTGCAGGTGCTGTTCAAGCATGATCAATGGCAGGGGTGTCCCTAGGGTTGGTGTTACCTGGTGCGGTAACACGTGGTGTCACCCCTCCAGAGGTGGGTGGTCCCTGTCATGCCCACGCAACCTGGCTTTTTCCCTCCCTGTGTCCCCGTCGCACCCCCGGTATTGCTAGATCAGTTAACCCCGTATAGGTTGCAAGCCGACGATTCCCACAAGATGGATCGGATATGCGGATTGGGGAGCATAATGGATCGGACTCCGAGGTCCGGGGGGTGTGACGGTGACACAGGGAGGGGAAGAGCCAGGCTGTGTGTATGCCAGGGACCACCCACCTCTGGAGGGGTGACACCACGTGTTACAGCAGATCCAATCCATCTTGCAAGGATCGGCGGCTTGCAACCTATACAGGGTTAACTGATTTTACAACACCGGTCTGGGGGGTGCGACGGGGACACAGGGAGGGGAAGAGCCAGGCTATGTGTGCACGACAGGTCCTGTCCACCTCTGGAGGGGTGACACCACGTGTTACCGCAGATCCAATCCATCGTGCGGGGGATCATCGGCTTTACATTTTGGTGTCACCCGGTGAGATAGGTTTCGCCCGGCGCAACCCGCACCCACCTAGAGACGTCACTGATCAATGGAAGTCAGTCAAACAATCATCTTCAGTTGAATAGAGACAGCCACACACTTATCAAAATTTGGCTGGCCTTCGCTTTACTGTAGTGTGAAGGTCTGCTTTACGTCAGACAATGAGAACTTAAAGGATAAATTCACCTTTTTGTAAGAAAAACAATAATAAATGCACATCTTTTTGTAGGTTAAAAAAAAAATGTTTATTTTTTTTACACTGCAGCCTATAAAGCCATTGCACCCATGATCAGCAGATCGCTGGTGCAATTCCAGGATCCTGCAGACAATCTGTCAGCGGTCTGCCTGTACCTTCCAGTTACTGAAGGGCAGGAAGAATCAATAAACTGCAAGAGCGCTCACCAGCGTTAAGTTAACAACACCCCGAAATTGGTTCGCAAAACGTGGTGCGATGTGCAGAATCGGATTGCATGGGTGTGAATACCTATGCAATCCGTTTCTAATGCGGACCAAAAAAAGGGTCCTGCACCTTTTTGATGCGGTGCGATTGGAGCCATACAAACTGTCTCCAATTGCACCGCCCACAAATCGCATGTGATTTGTACAGGAATGCGGTGCGGTTCCTGTGTGAATCACATGATATGCCGCACCGCAGAAGTGTGAACACAGGCTGAATCTTGTTATCTAACAAAATATACAAGAAGAGAACTTGATGACATACCGTATTTGCCGGCGTATAAGACGACTTTTTACCCCTTGAAAATCTTCTCAAAAGTCGGGGGTCGTCTTATACGCCGGTATACGGCATACTGACACTTTTTAGGGGGGCGGCGCGGTGCCGCCGCCGCCCCCCCCCCCCTTTCAACGGAAGGGACACTAAGTACAGGGGTGGGCAGGGGCTGTTTCTTACCTGGCTCCGGTCCCGCGACGATCCGGTCCAGGAGCGCGGCTGCTCCTTTAGTTCGGCCACTGGATGTTCGTGCGGCTGCTCGGCTCCGCCTCCTCACCGGTGATTGGCCGCCAGAACTGTAGCTCAGGAAAGGCACACAGGCGGCCAATCACCGGCGAGGGGGCGGAGCCAAGCGGAGCCAAGCGGCCCCGCGAAAATTGAGTGCAGGACCAGCAGGTAAGTGTTCAGTGTAGAGGTGCTGCTGCAACCACATATGCTGGCTGCAGCAGCACCATACGAGAACAGGGTCAGCAAGTGTCAGTGGGAGGAATAGTGCCCCATCATTGGTGTCACTGATACCAATGATGGAGCACTATTCCTCCCATTGACACCAATGATGGGGCACTATTCCCCCCCCATTGACACCACCGATGGGGCACTATTCCACCCCCCACTGACACCAATGATGGGCATTATTCCACCCCCCACTGACACCAATGATGGGGCACTATTCCACCCCCCCCACTGACACCAATGATGGGGCACTATTCCACCCCCCACTGACACCAATGATGGGGCACTATTCCACCCCCCACTGACACCAATGATGGGGCACTATTCCACCCCCCACTGACACCAATGATGGGGCACTATTCCACCCCCCACTGACACCAATGATGGGGCACTATTCCACCCCCCCCACTGACACCAATGATGGGGCACTATTCCACCCCCCACTGACACCAATGATGGGGCACTATTCCACCCCCCACTGACACCAATGATGGGGCACTATTCCACCCCCCACTGACACCAATGATGGGGCACTATTCCTGCCACTAACGCCAATGATGGGGCACTATTCCTGCCACTAACACCAATGATGGGGCACTATTCCTCCCACTGACACCAATGATGGGGCACTATTCCTCCCACTGACACCAATGATGGGGCACTATTCCTCCCATTGACACCAATGATGGGGCACTATTCCTGCCACTGACACCAATGATGGGGCACTATTCCTCCCACTGACACCAATGATGGGGCACTATTCCTCCCACTGACACCAATGATGGGGCACTATTCCTCCCACTGACACCAATGATGGGGCACTATTCCTCCCACTGACACCAATGATGGGGCACTATTCCTCCCACTGACACCAATGATGGGGCACTATTCCTCCCACTGACACCAATGATGGGGCACTATTCCTGCCACTGACACCAATGATGGGGCACTATTCCTCCCACTGATACCAATGATGGGGCACTATTCCTCCCACTGACACCAATGATGGGGCACTATTCCTCCCACTAACGCCAATGATGGGGCACTATTCCTCCCACTGATACCAATGATGGGGCACTATTCCTCCCACTGATACCAATGATGGGGCACTATTCCTGCCACTGATTCAATGATGGGGCACTATTCCCCCACTGATACCAATGATGGGGCACTATTCCTGCCACTGATACCAATGATGGGGCACTATTCCCCCCACTGATACCAATGATGGGGCACTATTGCTCCCACTGGTGTGCATTGGAAGAGGGGTAGTCTTATACAGCGAGTATAGCCCAAACACTACATTTTAGCAGGAAAAGTAGGGGGTCGTCTTATACGCCGGCAAATACGGTAAGTTGGAAATGCCGGCATACAAGTACCATGGAAACACACACAGTCATCAGTTGGTAATCTGTCAAATAGCAGCTTTGGAAGAACTGACACTTTGTCTCCATTTTTCTTTTTGCAGCCGGGAGACTTACAATTCTCTCACCAACTGGCTGACTGATGCCCGGACACTGGCCAGCCCCAACATCATCATCATCTTATGTGGCAACAAGAAGGACCTGGAGGCGGAACGAGAGGTGACATTTCTAGAGGCATCCCGGTTTGCCCAAGAGAATGGTGAGAGGACTTGGGGTTTAAGGGAGGATCCTCCATGTGCTCTTCACCTTCAAAGGACTGTCGTGGATATTTTTGCAACCCAAAAAAATAGTTTCTGCTCGCTATGTCTTTTTAAGAGGAACTCCATCCTGCACAAAAAGTTTGCTATAGTTTCTAGTACCGGAGCTGTTGAGTAATGCCTCATGCACACTGGCTGTTTTTTTTTTTTTTTTTGCCAGTAAACATTAAGGTATGTGTTCATGCACACATAGGCTGTAATCAGCGTTTTTTTGTTTTTTTTTTTAGGGGCATTTTCAGCCTGGACAAAAAAAAAAAACTCAGAACTACTTAAAGAGGAGTTTTTCAGCTGTAAAAATGTTGCAACACTACAAAATGCTGAAAAACTTTGCTATCCGGCTTTCATGAGCATTTTTGAGTCTCAATCCTATGTGGGAGTATAGTTTTGCTAAAAACGCAAAAAATGAAACCACTAAAAAAACACGACAAAACTTGAGTTTTTAGCGCGGCATTCCACAGCCAACGCTACTGGCGTTTTTATAATGTCCAGGTGTATGAGGCCTTATAAACAAGTGTCATAAACTTTCCACTAAAGTGGAACTGCACTGCATCTGAGAGCCACAAACTAAAAATGCTGTCTAATGCTTTAATATTCAAAGCAAACTCACCTATCCTTCCGTGTCTCCACTCGCCTATCCATCCGTGTCTCCACTCGCCTATCCATCCGTGTCTCTCCACTCGCCTATCCATCCATGTCTCCACTCGCCTATCCATCCGTGTCTCCACTCGCCTATCCATCCGTGTCTCCACTTTACCTATCCATCCATGTCTCCACTCGCCTATCCATCCGTGTCTCCACTCGCCTATCCATCCGTGTCTCCACTCGCCTATCCATCCGTGTCTCCACTCGCCTATCCATCCATGTGTCTCCACTCGCCTATCCATCCGTGTCTCCACTCGCCTATCCATCCATCCATGTCTCCACTCGCCTATCCATCCGTGTCTCCAACTCGCCTATCCATCCGTGTCTCCACTCCACTCGCCTATCCATCCGTGTCTCCACTCGCCTATCCATCCGTGTCTCCACTCGCCTATCCATCCGTGTCTCCACTCGCCTATCCATCCATGTCTCCACTCGCCTATCCATCCATGTCTCCACTCGCCTATCCATCCATGTCTCCACTCGCCTATCCATCCATGTCTCCACTCGCCTATCCATCCATGTCTCCACTATCGCTATCCATCCATGCTATCCTATCCATCCATGTCTCCACTCGCCTATCCATCCATGTCTCCACTCGCCTATCCATCCATGTCTCCACTCCATGTTCTCTCTCGCTATCCATCCATGTCTCCATGCTTTATTTTGCTGTGAATTACTTTTGAAAAACTCCCCATGGGATTTCTGACAGTGGCCATCTTGAGTAGGGGCAGATGATTCATGTAGCATTTACTTCCTGGAATCCATCTACCCGTAGCTCAGGCGCTGGCTGAGCCGAGAACCCTCCCTCCCCTTCTGAAGGCTTCTTGGATGTATGACATTTTATATTATGTGACCAGTAAATACAATATACTTTCCTATCTATTTACTAATAATACCAGCATAAGGATTAAAAGTAGTCAATATTGATTGAGAGAGTGAAGTTTCCATTTTAATCACATTAGTAAATTTACTGGAACCCCCAGATAATATTTGTGACCTCGGCAAAGGTTACACAGTCTCTGACCCCCAGAAGCACATTATTCAATTCAAGACTTTTTATCACACAGAGGTCCCGTACAGCGATCGTTGTTCCCCATGTCCGGAGGACCCAGCAGTCACCGCATCGCGGTGCTGCGCACTGCCAGGGAGCGCACACAGGCAGTGATTGCGGAGGCTGTTTATAAACGGCTACCAGCTCCTGCACTGCTCCCCTCTGGCCGTTTATGTACATGGGCCAGACGGGAAGTGGTTAATCCACCATTTAAAAAAAAAAATTATATACATCAGCACACATCCTTTTTTGTTTTCTGTCTTTTTTTTTTTTTTTCCCTCCTTTTGAGATTTTCCTATCCTTGGCTTGTGTTTTTAGGATGGCTCTGTTCACTTGCAGGGTTTCCTGGAGCCACCCTTGTGTGCTCCTGCTTGGCATCATTGCCTGACATGCCGATGCTCCATGTACAGCACAGAGCCCCATGAATGGTTTCTTCACCTTCTCCACTTCCAAGGATTGATGAGCAGCTATTCTTGGAGAGACCAGTTACAGTCATTGCTAGTCACGCATGCACTGGTATTCATGGCACTTGGTGTGATGGGAAACATGGTTCCACTGCAGGCACTCGTGTGTGACCATTTGTAATCTCAAATGGAAAATAGGGGAAACGGTGCTGGGGGCAGTGAAGGGTGCTGCGACCCCTTTCACACGGGCGTTCAGATCAAGTCTGTCTGTCAGTTTTTTCAAGCAGACCTGACCGGAAGGTTCATGTAATTCTGTGGTTAGGCAGGTGTAAGTGACTTGTGTGCGTTTACACCAGTCTACCTTCAGGTCCAATCAAGTCCACTAAAAAAATGCATTTGGGCGGACCAGAATGGAGGGCAGTTGGGTGTAAACGGACAGCAGAGTTAATTTACCTCTGTCTATCCACAGAGCAGAGAGGGCCCTGTCCGTGTGTGTGATCTGCATATAAACTGAGCGGACGCAGACCTGTCATCTGTCCGCTCTGCTCTGATCAGCAGACAGATCCCTTGCGGTTCAAAATGGAGTCGGCCCCATGTGAAAGGAACTTTAAAAAATAGAGGGGGGGGGGTTTAATGTTTTGGGTGGCCTCAAGTGGGATGATTCACTATTTATCATTGTAATTTCTGGAGAAATTTAGCTGTGAATGTCAGAGTTGAAACATGGCTTCTGAATCTGATTCATAGACTAGCATAGTGTTGTGTGGGGGAGGTGCAGTGGTTTTACCTCTGTATTGAACCTGATGCAGGAATTTGCATCCTCCATAGAAAACCATTCAATGCCTATACGTTCTGTGTGACGCATTATCGCCTGACTGACAATCTGATTGGAGCAATACATAATATGGTTGAATGCTCATTCACATAAACGAGTCACCCTTTAAGTTTGGCATACTCTTTGTCCATCCCTGCCTGCCAGCCATGCTCATCTAAAGGGATCTCTAATGAGATCCACAGAAAGGAAAGCAATGAAAAAAATTCTGTGAACAAAAGCTTGTTCATAGATAAACAAATGGACTGCTGCTCTTTCCAAAAATGCTAGTTGCCTGGCTCTCTTACACATCTACTGAATGGCTTTAGTGTTCCCTAAGGTCTCGTTCATATGGGACTTGGCATTTTTTGGAAGGGCACACGGGTCCTTGCTGGCAGCAAAACATATCTGTGCAGATGCGTTTATAGTTGCGTTTACATGTGTTTTCGCTGCATTTACACTTGCTAAGGCATACTTAAACAGGTTCTTCACGCTAGAAAAAAACAATTAAAAGTCAACTGCTACAGATCCTGTAGCTGCTGACTTTTAATTACAGAACATTTACCTGTCCAGGGATCCAGCGCCGTCCTCACCCAGTCTAGTTCTTCACTTGTCTTCATGTTCCTGGCAGTGGCATCTTAACTGTATGCAGCCGGCTGTGCTGATTGCGGCTTCGCAGCCCACTGCACATGTGTGAGCTGCACTGCGCTTTTTGAATGGTCCCACCGTCTTCTGAGATCGCAGCCACTGCACATGTGTGAGCTGCACTGCGCTTTGTGAATGGTCCCACCGTCTTCTGAGATCGCAGCCCACTGCACATGTGTGTAGCTGCACTGTGCTTTGTGAATGGTCCCACCGTCTTCTGAGATCGCAGCCCACTGCACATGTGTGAGCTGCACTGCGCTTTGTGAATGGTCCCACCGTCTTCTGAGATCTGTGATGTTTCCCAGAAGACTGCGGGGGGGAATGAGAACCTAGGTGATCTGAGCAGAAGTGGGTACCTGTAAAAACTAGGTACCTGCTCCTCCCCCAGGGTGCAGGAGGAGGGCTTAAAGTGAAACTTCCCTTTTTAGAAGTCGCACTTTAAGCACATTTGTTGGCTTACCCTCAGTTCACATCTGTTCAGGTGGTGCTGCTGCTGCAGGACCTGCACCAATGCCTGCAACCGCACCACCCACACAGAGGAATGCTGGACCCACTGGTGGACATCATTAATTCTAATGGCATGCCGCCCACACTGGAAATAGCAACCGTACTGGGATCCTCTGTTCCTGTACGGGCTGTGATTTCCAGAGTAGTGCATAGACTTCTTCCCTGCGCATCCTGGGGCACTGAAGTCTATTCAAATGAATGGGCTTTCGTGTCCGTGCAAATCGCAGCCCGCATGACCGCACAGATGGGTACCAGGGCTTTCAGATCCTCCATTTTTAGCACATTTACATATGCAGAGACATCTCTGCTCTGTTTTTTTTTTTTGTTTACACTGCTAAATGCAGTGCTACATGACAGCCCAGATGCATCTGTCTCTATAGCCCAATTTATTTTAATTATGCTGTGTAAAGATGTATGCAGAACTCAATGCCACATCTCATCTGTTTGCAGAGTTTTTTTACACCCCACATGAATGAGTGCTAAACCATTAAACCAATACAAATAAAGTGACAGAGTTATTTATTTTTTTTAAACTTTTTATTAAAAGAGAAGTTCAGGAATAAAAAAAAAATTATACTCACCTAGGTAGATGCAGCATCGGTCCAATACTGCATCTGTCCCCCACTGCTTCTACGACTGAGAACTGAGCGATCAAAGACTGCTGATTGCTCAGTTCTTGGTCTTTACTTAGCAGAGAGCCGGTAACTGTCAGCCACCAGCCCTCTGCTCTGCCCCTCCGATGCTTACTGGAGCGCCGGGCTGTGGAGGCGGCGGAAGCGGCTGGTTTAGGCATTTAGTGGCTCGTTGAGAGGCTGAGCCAGCTGCCAGTCCTTCATCTGGGTGGATCGCTCCAAAGTCTTTATCAGCTCTGTGATGTCAGCTTTAGCCGGCTGTCGGCTGAAAAAAAAGCGTTTCAGGCTGTGATCCATTAAGAACTTTATCAATGACATATGCAGAACATGACACCAAGCAAGACATAAGTTTCCACAGGGCTACAAAACGTATATAAATTTCGTAGCCTCTAGAACTAGCCTTTCGGTGCAGAAGTTTCAGAAAATTGAAGAAACCAAGAATGAGAAGAAAGACGATAAGACAAGACAGGAGATACAAAGGGAAAGGGGTAGGGAGGGGGAAAAGTGGGTTAGCTGGCAGCAGCCCATGATGGAAACTGCACCACCGTTCACAATGGTGCATGTCAGAGAAGACCGAGACACAGTATACAGAAGTTATTAAACCACTTATCACATATCAGAAATATGATTCATAAAAACAAGGGCCCGTACAAAAAAAAAAAAATCAATTCAACAAGCAGGCCTAAAGCCAGTCAAGCCACTCATAGGTGGATCGAATCACGACCGGTTCATCTGGGATAGGCCAAGATTCGATCCATCTGAGGGCAGGCTGGTTGTATTGAAGTCAATCCATCATCGACTTTAGTACAGCCAGCCTGTATAATGTTTTTGTATGTGATCACTTCTGGCAGCTATAGCAGCTAGCATTGATCATTGTGCTCTGTCAGCAGGGAAGGCACCCTCCCGACAGAACACAAAAGGGGTTGATTTAATAAAACTGGAGGGTGCAAAATCTGGTGCAGCTGTGCATAGAAGCCAATCAGCTTCCAGGTTTTTTTTTTTTTGCCAAAACATAAGTTAGAAGCTAATTGGCTACCGTGTACAACTGCACCAGATTTTGCACTCTCCAATTTTAATAAATCAACCCCAATAGCTCCACAGGAGGCTTTCCCTATCAACACTGGCTGAGTTGATGGGGGAATCAAGTGATTTTTCTTTCCATCCACCTGTGATGGAAGAGAATAAAATCGTGTCATGTATGGCCTGCTCAAGTGTTCTAGAATCTGTCATATTCATCTCTTGGACATGTTTGTTCTATTAGACTGAAATGATAGCTGATCAGGGGTTGTGAGCTTACTTACTGCATGCTTTTTTTTTTTTTGGATCATCGACTGAGGATGTATTGAAATGAGAGGCATCTAGGTAACTAGCATTTTAAGAAATGGCAGGGCATGTCCACCTACTGTTCTTTCAGTTGCTTTAAAGCGGGACTAACTTCTGTCAATCAGCATTAACTATTTTTAATCCTTATGTTGCCAGCTGTAGTAAATAGATAGGAAGGTATATTATATATATACTCATTTAAAAAAAAAAATTTTCTGCCTGGCAGTACTAGGGTCGTTGGTTTGAATCCCAACCACGGCACCACCTGCCTGGAGTTTGCATGTTCTCCCTGTGCCTGCGTGGGTTTCCTCCAGGTACTCCGGTTTCCTCCCACACTCCAAAGACATGCTGGTAGGTGAATTGGCTCCTGTCTAAATTGTCCCTAGTATGTGTATGTATGAATGTGAGTTAGGGACCTTAGATTGTACACCCCTTGAGGGTTAGGGACTGATGTGAATGTACAATATATATGTAAAGCGCTGCGTAAATTGATGGCGCTATAGAAGTACATGAAATAAATAAATCTCAGGAGTTTTCCTGGGCATTTTCTTTCTTTCATCTGGAGGAGAGGTTTTCTCAGCTTAGCACCCCTACCTGCATGCGTGCCTGAGCTTAAGGGCAGAAATAATTCCAGGACTTGAATGCTACATGAATCATCTGCCCTTACTCAAGATGGCTACAGCTAAAAATAAAAGGGAGGTGTTTTACAAAGAGATTTCTTAACAAAATAAATCATGGAGACATTGAAGGATGGGAGAGTTTGCTTTGAATAATAAAATGAATTAAATATGGTTTTTAGTTTGTGGTGCTCAGATACATTTCCACTTTGAGGACCCGTGAGCTTTCCTTGGCTACAAAAGCGCGTTTGTTCATCTTTCAGACAATGATGACCTTCTGCACTTCAGTCTTCAATAACTGAAACAAAGGAAAAGCTATTTGTGAGAAGTTTGGTATGGAACCTTGCAAAGATATGTACTATGAGTAGCAAAAATAAAACTGGGCTGAGATAAATGCTTCATGGGTAGGCTGAGAACTCTTCAGTCGCCCCTCGTAAATGTGAAAATGTAACCAAACACGAAAGCGTTCAATGTGTGTATACTGCGAATATCAAGGCAGCCGCCCCCCCTGTAACCAACACTTATACTCTGTAGAGAAATGTGTAAAAAAGGAAGGCGTTATCCCTTTACGTTTATGTGCCCCCAAAAAATGTTTTGTGTGTGTATATAAAACCTTACTATAAGTGTCACATAATATTGATGACAAGCGTCACGTAATATTGATAATAAGCGTCACGTAATATTGATAATAAGCGTCACGTAATATTGATAATAAGTGTCACGTAATATTGATAATAAGTGTCACGTAATATTGATAATAAGTGTCACGTAATATTGATAATAAGTGTCACGTAATATTGATAATAAGTGTCACGTAATATTGATAATAAGCGTCACGTAATATTGATAATAAGTGTCACGTAATATTGATAATAAGTATCACATAATATTGATAAGTATCACGTAATATTGATAATAAGTGTCACGTAATATTGATAATAAGTATCAATATTACGTGACGCTTATCAATATTACGTGACGCTTATCAATATTACGTGATTTATCAATATTACGTGACGCTTATCAATATTACGTGACGCTTATCAATATTACGTGACTTTTATTATCAATATTACGTGACGCTATTATCAATATTACGTGACGCTTATCAATATTACGTGACGTTATCAATATTACGTGACGCTTATCAATATTACGTGACGCTTATATCAATATTACGTGATGCTTATTATCAATATTATGTGATACTTATCAATATTATGTGACGCTTATTATCAATATTATGTGATACTTTTATCAGTATTACGTGATAATATATCAATATTATGTGACGCTTATTATCAATATTATGTGATCATCACTAATATTTTAATAAGTGTCGCCTAATATTGATAATAAGTGTCAAGTAATATTATGTCCTGACACAATTATTCCAATGTCCACATCATAATTAGAAAAAAAAGTTTCCTAATTCACCAAAATCTTGTAAAAGAAAACTGATAGAAGATGCCTAATTTTTCAGGAAATAACCTATATGTGCTCCACCTTGTGATCAGCTGAATTGCTAACTCCCCAAACCACAGCAGCCTCCAAAGCAGCCAGCAAGCAGTAGGGGAAAAAATCCTGTGCCTGAAGAATGATCTCTTCTCCATAGGGTACCAAACCACTCCGCACAAGAATATTATGAATGGAAGATCCTCATCATGGATAAATGAGGAAAAAAAATCCCAAAAACGATGTAACATAGTGCAGTATTTTATTAAAAATTAAGAGAATAAAAAGATCGGTATGCACTCCCATGTAAAAGGTGCCAAGGGGGGCACCAAAACAACTCACAAAGGGGGATCCAGTCCCTCACACAACAACACGTATGTTTAGAGCCAGCGTGCTTTTCATAGACCGTGTATGAAGTATGGGAGGAGACCGGAAATGACGTCGGCGACTCGAGCCTCAATGCATTTCATGCTTTATCAGGAAGCTACCCAGGTGATTTGGAACTTTTTTCTCATTGTGATGTGCACATTGGAATAATTGTGCTGGGATATCATATTATGTGACACTTATAAATTGTATTAATATTATGTGATACTTAACCCCTTGACGCCGACCCGCCCTTTAAGGGTTCCAGAAGCCAGGAGGCGGGGTTTTAGGGTCATGTGACCGTCATGATTCGCTGTCACGGCGGTCACGTGATCAGGAAAGGTCCCGATCGAAAGAGGAGATCGGGACCTTTCCGTGAGTACCGAATGTGTGTGCTGGGAACTTGCAGGGGTGCGCTCTCTCGGCACATATGTTTTTTTTTTTTTTTTTTAATAGAACGCAAATGTGCGGCCGCTCTGCGTCTAGGCCCAGACGCCGGGAGGCCGCACATTTGCGTTTGGCTGGTGCCAAGAGGTTAATGTAAGGTTCTATATACAACACCAAAAACTTTTCTGGGCATATAAAGTTATTGCACAGAGATTTAAAGGACTAGCGCCTTCCTTTTTTTTTTTTTTTTTTTTTTTTTGAAGCATGCTGCAGTGGATGCATTATAAACTGCACTGACACATGTATTCCTTTATCCACTCTAGAGCTAATGTTTTTGGAAACCAGTGCTCTGACCGGAGAGAATGTTGAAGAAGCATTCTTAAAATGTGCTCGGACGATATTAAATAAAATAGAATCAGGTAAGACATCTTACATGTTCTTCTGTTTAACCAATTCAATACCGGGCAATTTTCCCCCTTCCTGCCCAGGCCATTTTTCAGGTTTCAGCGCTCTCACACTTTGAATGACAATTGCGCGGTCATACAATATTGTACCCAAACTAAAATTTTATCATTTTCTTCACACAACTAGAGCTTTCTTTTGGTGGTATTTTATCACCGCTGGGGTTTTTACTTTTTGCTAAATTAACAAAAAAAGACCAAAAATTAAAAAAAAAAACCACACTTTTTCTTTGTTTCTGTTATAAAAGTTTGCAAATAAATAATTGTTCTTCATAAATTTAGGCTGAGATGTATTCTGCTACATGTCTTTGGTGAAAAAAAACCCAAATTAACATGTATTTTTTAGTTTGTAGGAAAGTTATAGAGTTCACAAACGATGGTATAGATCTGAATATTGATCAATCCTGAAGTACTGACGGCAATCTAATTTCTTGAGGTCCAAGAATGTCAGAACAGTACAGATATCCCCCAAATGACCCCTTTTTGCAGAGCAGACAGTCCGACATACTTCATAAGAAGGCATGGCGAGTTTTTTGAAGTTGTATTTTTTTTGTCATTTTTCGGAAAATTAAAAAAATTAGTTTCACTATTTTTTTTTTTTTACATACTGTCACCAGTGCAGTACAGCGTCATCATATAACTGGCATGGCGGTGATCAGGGACACTGACTGGTGACAGTATGAAAAAAAAATATATATATATATTTTTAAAAAACTTTTTATTACATTTTTTTTCTTTTTTTTAAGATTTTTTTTTCATATTTCACTATGACCAAAGTAGTACAATGTTACCATAGTAACATTGTAGTACTTTGGGAAAGTAATCAGTACTTTTTTTTTTTTTTTTTTTTTTACAATTTGCTTAGAGCAAAGAATTACTTTGCTATAAGCAAGCATTTACCTGAATGACATCGATTCATTCAGGGGTTTTTTTTTTTTGTGCTTAGCTGTGATTTGGCCACAGCTAATCACATGACTTGTGCATGTGATCGCTGTGACCATTCACAGCTAGACACTAGTTTACAATGGATGGCATGAATGAAGCTATCCATTGTATACAACTGTCATGTGACCTCCTGCTGTGATTGGTCACAGCAGGTCACATGGTACCGGGAACGGGGGCCGATATCAGATCTGTCATGTCTGTACACGGCCTGGTGACAGATCGCGGCTGTCTGCAGGAGCGCAACCTGCGCATGTGCGGGAAGACACCATATGGCGTCCACCCGGAACGCTGATGACATTTGCTGGCCGCCATTCGGCCATAGGGCGGGCGGCAAATGGTTAAATCCCAAGTCCGCTGTATTGTAATCTGGAGTTGGGCTTTTAAAGCTGAATGTCTAATAGACAATGAACAGTACATTTGTTTAACCACTTCCCAACCGGCCGTTGTATATAAACGGCCGGGGACGGTGGCACTGCAGGGTCGGGTGGCCGTCTATAAACGGCCTCCCCGCACCCTGCTTGTGCGCACTCCCTGGGAGCGCACAGCACCGTGATCAGGTGCCCGCTGTGTCCTCCGGACACAGTGAAACACCGATCGTCGGACGGGACCTCTGTACGAGGTCCCGATCATGTGATCACTGATTGGCCAGTGAATGATCACAGAGGTCACATGGTACAAGGCTATTCACAAAAGCCTTGTACCATGTGACAAGCTGTGACCAATCACAGCTCACTCAGTTCTTCTCAATGAGTGCAAGAATGCACACAGAGAGAAAGGGAAATGATTGCTTTTACATCCTATATGGGTGTAAAAGCAATCAGTGTAAAAAAAAAAAAAAAATCTTCATCACCCCTCACAAGTAGTACAGTGTCACCATGGTGACACTGTACTGCTAGGGTGACAGTATGTAAAAAAAATAAATAAATAAAAAATAATAATAAAAAAAATAAAATAAAAATGTAAAAAAAAATGTTTAAAAATTATAATTTTTGCTTATAAAACTAATTTGGATATTTTTTTTTTACTAAAAAGATAACGGAATAAATTTTGGCTAAGATTTATGATGAAATATTATTTATTTGCAAAATTTTATAAAAAAAAAAACACTTTTTTTCAAATTTTTTTGGACATTTCATTTACATAGCAAAAAAAATACAAATCCCAGTGGTGAATAAATACCACCAAAATAAAGCTTTATCTATCTAAAAAAAATGGTAAAAAAAATTCATTTGGGTACAGTGTTGCATGACCCGCGCGCAATTGTCATTCAAAGTGTGATAGCGCTAAAAGCTGAAAATTGCCCTGGTCAGGAAGGGGGTAAAAGTGTCCGGTCTGGAAGTGGTTAACCACTTCAATACCCGGGCACTTTTACCCTCTTCCTGCCCAGGCCAATATTCAGCTTTCAGCGCTGTCGCACTTTGAATGACAATTGCACGGTCATGCAGCACTGTACCCATATGAAATTTTTATCATTTTTTTTCACACAAATAGAGCTTTCTTTTGGTGGTATTTAATGACCACTGAGTTTTTCATTTTTTGCTAAATAAAACAAACAACTGAAACATTTGAAGAAAAAAAAACCTCACTTTTCTTCGTTTCTGTTACACAAATGTGCAAATAAATAAAATTACTTCATACATTTAGGTCAAAATGTATTCTGCTACATTTCTTTGGTGAAAATAATAATAATAATTGAATTTGTATTTTTTTTTTTTCAAATGTTTTCATTATATTTTTTATTAATTTTTTTCTCTCTTTTTTTTTTTTTTTTTACTATTTTTCAGCACTATTCTATTTTTCAGCACACTGTGACCAAAGCAATACAATATTGCCATAGTAACATTGAATTACCCTGGGCAAGTGATCAGGATCTTTTTTAACGCATTATGATTGCTAATACCAATGTATTTCATTGATATTTGCAATCATTGTTACAGAATGAAACTGATTAATTCAGTTTTTGTTGTGATTGGCCCTGTCTGTATCGCAATGTGAAATAAAAAGAGTATCTCCTACAGATAAACTAGATGAATACAGCAGCCAGCACTACTGGTGCCACAATCTATGCACTAACTAATAAGCAGGTAATGGAAAGTAGAAAACAGTGCGCGCTTATATAACCTGTTACAGGCCCTAGATGTGACCTACAAATGACTTATATCACATATGACTATGAGTGATAAATGTGATACTGTATCATGTGACTGCCTTGACCAGTCACAGCTAACATTTTGGCCTAAATTTATGATGAAATTTGATTTTTTCAGTTTTTTTTTTCTTACTGGATGTTTTATAGCAAAACATATATATTTTTTTTTTCAAAATTGTCTTTTTTTTTTTGTTTATTTTTATATAGCACAAAAAATAAAAAACAGAGGCAAGTACCACCGAAAAAAAATCTCAATACCTGGTAAAAAAAAAAAAGACATAAATTTAATTTGGGTGCAGCGTTGCATGACCGCACAGTTGTCAGTTAAAGTAACGCAGCGCTGTATCGCAAAAAATTGGCCTGGTCGGGGGGGGGGGGGGGGTAAATCCTTAGGAGGGCAAGTGGTTAATAGATGTGCATTGTAGGCAGAGGTAGTAAAGGTCAACCACCATGTAACGATGCCCATATGTATATCTAAAAATTATTATTTTTTTAATTTCTGACGTGATTCATATTTTTACATTTTTGCTTCTCCATAATTCTGACATTGCACTAGACCTCGTTCACATGGGGCAATTACATGCGTGCCCCTTGCAGAACCGTGTTTTGCCATTATAGGTGCTACGTACTTCCCTGTGCCAGCAGTCCCATTACCATCTTTTGGGATGCAGCAGCTTTGTGGATACTGCAACTGTGTCCCAAAATGACATTTGTGTGGGTGCGTGTCCACAGATGCACCCAACGTGCGTGTTCAGGGCTGTGCACCCACACGGATGTCATATTGGTGTCCATGCAGCCGCTGCATCTCAATAGAGACCTGTGCATCTCCGTACTGGCAAAACATGGCCCTGCAGGGGGCACCCATTTAATCCTTCCATATGAACAAGGCTTTAAAAGTAAAGATTTGTAGATTAGCCATTGGATGGGGTGCCAATTGCATTTGATCCTGCATATATATGGAGGAAAAATGATCTGCCCCCATGAATCTATCATGTTGTACAATAAATGCTGAAACTGTGTTTCTGAAAACATTTAGGCTGAACTCCAGGTATTATCTTTTTTGCTTACTTTACATTGGTCCAGCTGCTGGGGAAGCTGACCATCACAAGGTGTTCTCTGATTGGATGAGGTGGAGATTGATGTCACTGCTGTTTCTCCACATTGTCCAATCAGAGAATGCCTTGTATTCAATAAGTAAAATACAAGTCATTCTGTGAATGGTGGCATAGCCGAGTGAGTGCCCCCTGTTGGTAGTGTACAAAAGGGAAGCCTCTTGGAACAGGACTTTTGCAAATGGCTATTCATTCCCTTTAAGATCTATATTTCTTTTATTCTTTAGGAGAGCTTGATCCAGAGAGGATGGGATCTGGGATCCAGTATGGAGAAGCCTCACCAAGGCACGCAAAGCACATGCATGGGACGCAGCTGCAAAACCGACAGCAGTGCAACTGTTAAGCAGCAAGAGAGGTAAACTTTAACCCCTTCAGTAAAGGAAGGTTGACCTTCTGGGTACACAATCCCACTGGTGGGGCCAAGACAGTGTACGCCGTGTTATCCAATATCCTTTCGGGTCTTCACAAAAAACAATGTTTGCTGCACTTTTGTGTTTAAATGAGACAAGTCATGAAAAGGTTAAAGGTTGGTATCCCTTTACAAAAAAAAAAAACCCAATGTAGGTAAGGAGTGCCTGCAGATGATGATGATGAAGAAAAAACACAGTGCACCTCTGATTAAAGTTGGATAATGCCTTTGTTATAGATGTAGTCCATAAATGTACTACCCTAAGCCTGATTAAAGAAACTCCCAGAGATACCATCATCCCCTCCTGCCCTGTTGCTAGGGTGTTGCTAAGACATACCCAGCCACTACTGCTCATCCTGACCATCAAACTCCCTCACATGTATGATCCACTATCTCTCCTATGTAGCTGAGCTCTTTGTTATAGGTGTAGGCCATTTACATACCTCATGAAGCCTGACTGAAAAACTCCCAGAGGTGACATCATCCCCTTCTGCCCTGTTGCTAGGGTGTTGCTAAGACGTTCCCAGCCACTACTGCTCACCCCCACCATCATACTCCCTCACATGCGTGATCCACTATCTCCAATGTTGCTGAGCTCTTTGTTATAGGTGTAGGCCATTTACATACCTCATGAAGCCTGACTGAAAAACTCCCAGAAGACATCATCCTCCTTTGTGCCTAGGACATTGTGAAGACAGCTGCTTACCCCCGCTAGCACAGAAGGGAGCGCTTAAACCCCAGCACATGTCTTGTTCACTATCTCCTCTGTTGCAGCATTGCTAAGCTCAGAGCTACTGCAACAGGAGAGAGTGAGCGCATGCAAAGGGGTTTGAATCAGCTGGGAGTTTCTTAGCAACGTCCTAGCAACAAGCCGGGACAGGATGATGCTGTCTGTGGGATTTTTCAAACAGTCTTCGGGATATATCTGGTCTACACCTATAACGAGGGAATTATTCAACTTTGGCCAAAGCTGCACAGTTTGGTTTTTAACTCCAGGTGCCCCTTACCTGCATAGACAGTCTGCTAGGGGTGAACTAACCCTTCAAAACTAATAATGTAACAGACTAAATTCTACCAGATATCCAAGCAGGCGTCCATAACTTACCATTCTTGGGTGAACAGTCAAAATGCTGGGTTGGGTTTTTTCTTGGCCTCCTGTTAGCACGTACTCTCCGTTTGTTAGGTTTTTTTTCTACGTCTCAGGTTCACTAATATCGTATCTGCTTTCTAGTTTGGGAACAAGGTTCTTGCTGAGCTTGAGAAGCTGCAGGGAATAGAAAGCGTATAATATGAAAATGGTGCAGAGTGCTGATGATCTTGATTGAGATCTCCTTTTACAATACAACAGGTGCTCCACTGTGCGCAAACCGGTGCCCCACATGGACGAACACTCACCGTCATCCAAGGACCACCTATCTCTAGGATGGTCGTTTTCACTTTTGGGACTATCCCAGTGAAACTATGTTGCCAATGGTAACCACTTGTTCCTCCAAATGAACTGTGTCAATACCAACTTTCTCCTCTCCTCCACAGGCAGCATAGGCAAACGGTCAACATGTATAAAAAAAAACAACAAAAGTAGACATCCCATAGTATGAAACCGCTTTTCCTTTAACGTGTGGATGGTTTAAACTTGTGTTGGGGTTCACTACTTGTGACGGGAGTCACTTTGGGTGGGAGGCCCATGGAACCCAGCTCACTTTGGAGAGGTGGGGAGACCCCTGTCTCAGCTCCCCATATCCCTCTTATGTGTAAGTCACCCTGTGCCTGTTAGGGGTACAGGGTGATCTGTCCTAATATTAGGGTGGGGGGTTGCAGATTGTTTAATGCCATGTGGTTGCATCCCATTGTTCTATTGTGTGTCTTGCTTGGGAGCAAACTATTATGGGATGTATGTGTTTGTGTTTGGCTTGGTGGGGGTGTCTCCAGCAGCCCTCCCTCCTGATGGGACTGTCTGTTGGTGTGTCTTTTGTTACTAAATGTAGATTGCCCAGACCTGTGTCATTATGCAGGGAGGGATATGGTTCCCTTGAGTGTATATATCTTGTATCTGTGTTAAAATAAACTTGTCTACTTTCTGGATTACTTCAATATTGGTGTCGTCTAGTCTGGTATGGTCAGCTTTGGTGTCTGTTGTCGGCGTTCAGACGGGGAAGCGGTAGTCTAACGGAAGTACCCAAGCGCAGTCTGAGGTCGGTCCCGTTACATTACTGTTTCCACATTGGGCAGAATTTCTTTGGATTCCAGTATTGCAGACAGGTGTCAGACAGAAGTTGTGTCATCAAACCTCGACGTGCTTCGATCATTGATCTATGATTGAAACACGTCAAGGTTTGATGACGCAACTTCGCCGATGTCACTTCTGCCCTTTTGGAATGCATGCCACCTGGGAACTAACCACCTCAATGGCGGCTATTTTCTCAATGCATAAGCAACAAGGCCGAACACACCAGGTGCCAGGTTATGGGCACTTTTTTGTGAGTGTAATACATGCAGTAATTCTACTATAATTAGGGCTCCATGTACACGGGACATTTGGAAAACTGACTGCTGGAAAACATAGGTTAAAAAACGTCTGTTTAGCCACGTTTGCATACTGCGTTTATGCGCATTTGCGTTTAGAAGTGTTTTTTTAAGATAACCTCAGGAGACCTTCCAGAATGCCCAGAAAAACAGTAAAAAATTAACTCTTTCAGAAATATAGAGAGAGCAGAAGCAGAGAGAGCAGTATGTGTTGAGATGACCTGTCTTTTCTGGTTGTATTCACTATGGATCCCATCATGAGCATAATGCGGCAAGTTCTACCATTTTGTCCTTCACGCAAAACCTGGAACTGACTGCGCTGGTGTACCGGGTCCATTTGAATACATGGAAAACGCTTTGCATGCATTTCTGATGATGAAAAAAGGGTCTGGACAGCGTCTGGATATGGAACAGTTAAAAAATGCTTCTAAACGCAAACATTTATAAATGCAGTTAGCCGCGTTTGGTGTTTGAAACGCTGATAAAATCTACTCCTTAACCCAAGTTTGGTGCGTTAAAAAAAAAACGACTGTAAACTCAACTGCCTGTAAACTACTGTAAACGACTTAGTGTACATGGACACATAGGAAAACATTAGGGAGAGTTCAGGGGCTGCTGAAAAAAACACAGAAAAGCTCCTAAACGTGAGTTTATCAGCTGCAATGTACATGGAGCTCTTAAAGGAAAAGCGGTTTTCATACTATGGGATGTCTACTGTTGTTGTTTTTTTATACATGTTGACCGTTTGCCTATGCAGCCTGTGGAGGAGAGGAGGTTGGTATTGACACAGTTCATCTGGAGGAACAAGTGCTTACCATTAGCAACACGGTTTCACTGGGATAGCCCCAAAAGTGCAAATGTCCATCCTAGAGATAGGTGGTCCTTGGATGACGGTGAAGGTGGGAATACACGATTAGAAAATCGACCGATTCGTCATCCGACGACCGAGAGGCGTTCATTCGTTGGTTGAAATCGTGGCCCACATTAACCAATCTAAAAAATTAGTTCGTCGGTCAATACGTAGTGTTGACGTCTTCCATACAAGTGGAAGTGATTCGGTGTGCGTGTGACCTTGTAGCCACGCCCTTTCGGCCAGAACGATTGATATACACAATTACCAGCAATGGGTATAATATCATTTATTACATGACCTATATACATAAATAGTGATACATAAAATCTAATCTGCAGAATTCTGGTTTCATTATCTCATTAGGCCAATCTACTTTTAACATTTGGATTTTCCATTCGTGTTTACGAAGATTCCTTGGACATAAACATCCGGGTCGTCTTCTGTTTCCGCTCATGCGTGATAGCGCTTGATAGATTTTTTTCGTAGGACCGTCATACCACCGCATAGAAAATTGGTAGTTCGTATGCGAAACGACAACATTTTCACTTGGTCAACCAGAGTTCTTCGTTGACAAAATCGTTATCGGTTTAAACATCCTTCTCATCAACGAAGAGAAAAATCGTTCGATCAGTGCTTCAGCAAAATTTGTCATACGACTTTCTTATCGTGTGTACGGGGCATGAGTGTTAGTCCATGTGGGGCACCGTTTTGAGCACAGTGGAGCTCCTGTTGTATTGTAAAAGGAGATCACAATCAACATTATCAGCACTTTGCGCCATTTTAAATACTGTATATTAATAATAATTTTCTTATTACATTTTTTTCACTTATTGGGACTGATTTATCTATTTCATGCTTTATTTATACTTTTTGCACTATTTATGCGCAGTCCATATGGTTATTCATTGATCCACAAATAGGACTGCTGCAAATGATTATTGGAATTATCTGATACATCCACAAGCGCATTAGCACTTCTTTTTTCTTGCCTGCTCCTTGCTGTCATCCCAAGCAATACTGAAATTCTCCCCTTTACCCAGCACTAAGCCTCAGGACTCATTAACTTTCACCTACTGTGGTATTCAGAGTATAGGTTAAACACTCAACTCCAATGAAAAGCTTTCCTATTTTAGCTCTGGATGGCGTGAGAAAGGTTTGAAACCTCCGCCAAGTTTGTATTGCTATTTCTGGCCCTGATAGGATTTGTCCCCACTCCTTGATCTGTATGACTGAGCAGGAAGGAAAGGAAGGCTTGGAAGTGTGGAAGGTCTAAACTTGTGTTGGGGTTCACTACTGTTTCCACATTGGGGAGAATTTCTTTGGATTCCAGTATTGCAGACAGGTGTCAGACAGAACAGGAAGTGAGGAAAATCTCCTCAATTGGGAGTGTTTTAAACCTTTAGTCACTGGTCACACCGCTGCGATTTAAAATTGTGCGATTTGTGTTCAGTTTCAAGTGTACAATCCAAACGCACACGTTCCTACGTTAATAATGGCGGTGTGTATAAGTGGGTGTTGCAGCGATCGTTGGCTGGAACTGAACAGAATCAGCAAGAAA